GGGGGGAGGAGGCATAGTAAAATGTGAAGTTAAAATGGATTCGCCTCTCCATAGAGGTCAGATACCTGTGCTGCATCACAGATAGCTCAATAGAAGGTAAGTCTCTGAAAAGAAATTGGATATTTTAACATGAGGATCATGTTAGAGAGAGAGAGAGAGAGACAGCATAGAGAACACATAGTATGAGAATTTGCTTTTCTGGCTTTGATCTTTATTTCATAGAAGTCCTTCAGAAAGCAACAAGTTAAATATTAATAACCAGTAACTTAGATAGTGGCTCACCTCAAATTTCAATAGCAAGGTTTTCACAAATTCCTGCACTTAAACGTTCAAGGCTTCTCTCCAGGTTATCGCAGTGAGAGAGCAAGAGCCAAAGGCAAACTTGAATAAGCTTCCCCACCTTCCCCCTTCCCCACTGCACACTTTGTTAGCGGACAAAGTCTCGAATGCTAGTTGTACATTTTCATAAATGCCTTAACCACCAATTTTCAACAGTAACAAACACCGGGGCGTCATGTCTCCTTTGGACTTAAGATGCTTAGGCAAGGCCAAATTCACTTTTAGTGAGATTAGAGCCCTTAAATGTTCGTGGCTTTTGAAAACAGCATGCATGAGCCTACATCACTTTTGGCAGCTCTGTCAAGGTCTGGGTGGCACTCAGCTCCAGAAAACACCCACATTTAAAGCATCAGCCCTCCCTCCCACCATAGTCAGTGGTGCCCAGCAAAAAAGTAGGCTCAGGAAGTGCCTTAGCTGACCCAGCTCTGTATTAACTAGATCTCTGCAGACTAGGAAGGGAACTTAAAACACCTAGATTTAGGTATTTTTCGTTCTGAGCTCAACCCCATCCTTACAAGTGAAAGATTTGCATCTGGTGGGCTCTGAAGGCATTTAAGGCCAGAAAAACCTTAGACTTCACTGGTAGTGGGCTGCCTAAATCCTTTAGGACCTACAAATCAGGTGTGCCTTTACCTGGTCTCCCTCCAGTCATTTTCAAGTCAGGCCCCACATGAAGCAAGGAGAACAGCACCGCTATCGTCTGTAGCCAACTCCCCCACACTCGAGCTCTCCCCGGAAAGAGGAGAGTTGGGTTCAGGTCCCTCTCGGCCTTTGAGAGGCTTTGAACCTCCCTTCGTCCAAGGACGCAAGCTAACCCCTCGCCTTGCAGCCATACAGACTTCTCTGTGGCAAGGGCCTCTCAACCTTGGCTAGAGAGGTTGTCAGGTTAAGCAGAAACTTATCTTATTAAGATATAAATAGTGGTAATGTATTCACAGTCCAATATCACTATTGCCAAATACATTTTTTTCCTTAAGGCTAACGCTTACTCCAAAGCTGTTACTTAAAAGGACAACCACTTCAAAAATAGCATCTAAATACACAAGTTTACTGCCTTTGGAAAATCCTTGTCAGGTCTCCTATATCATAGTGGATCGGTATTGGTTACGGACGTCAAATATGAAGCCAGAAACTGTTAGCAATTATTATTTATCAATCAGGTATATCCTAATACAGCTGTACCAATGATAACCTTTGATAGCCATGAGAGCTGTGTAGGGAACAGCCTACCTCCGGGTTTAGATCCTTGAGGAGAAAAAGAGCAGCTGACATTCCCAAGTCTCTTCATTTTTTTGTTCTTTAGCCACGAAAGAGATTATGACAATCAATCATTTTTTTAGTTCCTAGAGGGACATACTCCTTGAATAGTAATTCAATAACATTATAAAAATGTGCTGTCACTTCTTACTACATTACCTATAACTCCTTCCTATTTCTTTTTTTCGGAGAAAAAAAAATATCTATATCTAACTGTCATTTTCTTTTCTTCCTTGCAGGGAGCAAGGAATCGCCTCTCCAGTCAAATTCCTTTGATAATTCTGTTTTCTGTCCTCCAAAACTTTGGAGACACCCTACAGACCACAATGTTACATCTTTTGCAAGAAAAAGAAAAGTTAACTCTTCTCCTTCAGGAGGACAGTGAAGTTGCTAAATACAGGCATTCACTCAGTCAACGAGTTAATCGTCTTACCAAAGCCTGCCAATATCTAAGAAACTTTGCCTCTCTGCAGATTTCTTGATTTCTTTTTTTAAAGTGTTTTTCAACTGTTATTTTCTAGTGTTATTGAAGAACTTTCTAAAATCTGCTAGAATTTTAATGTCAACATTGACCTTTAAAACTTATTTCTAGAATCCTCAAAATTGTTCAAAAATTGTTCTGCTTATTTTCCACACTAATACATCTACCAAAGTATAAAATGTTCCACTTGCACAACTGAAATTAAACTAATGCTATCATGTTTTTTTAAGCATTCTTTTTGTAAATTTTGCAACTTTTTGTAATCATTAAAATAATTATTAAAAAGCTAGAGCTCAGGAGGTTTTCTTTTTAAATGAGGATGGGAGAATTGCGGAGGTATACTCTCCAAGCTTTAGAAATCAAATTATAACTCACTTTCCTAGATCAAGCTTGCTGCTCTACTCTAGGGGGTGCCGATTCCCTGCTTCCTTTTGCTCTCTTTCCTCATTGTGGCTGTCGGCTTTTCTGTTCTTGCCTGTAAGATGATCATGCAAAGCGTTGCCACTGTAAGTCCCATCCCAATATGTAGAGATGGCGCACACAGCGGGCATGAGACAGTTCCAGCCCATCGGGAAAAGAAAGTTACCTTAACTACATTTCGTAAGTGCCCTAACAGGATGCTGTTGGGTCTGTTCTCCGATCTGCAGAGAAACCCTAAGGGACTTTTCTTCTGGATGCCTGGGGCATTGTCTGAAATTTTGAGGCCGACGGGGAATTCACTAAATGGCTAGGTTTGGATGGTCAAAATGGATTAAACCACCCAGGATATTAAACATTAAAAGGATGTCTCAGCATATGGCTTGTTACCTCTCTCCTTTCCCTCCCCATGCCTAAGCGAACCTTTCCAAAGGCTCTTTCCTTTCACGGAAGCCAGGGCAAAATATAATAATACTGCATAACGTTATACTTATGATATCTTTCATATGGAGGATTTATTTTAAAAGGACAAAGCCGTGCTTTGCATAGCACAAAGAAAGCCTGCATTCAGCTAAAAATTTTGTGCTTATAGAAGTGTGTCATTTAGTAACATCCAAGCAAGATGCTGACAGGAAAAGCTTTCTCTTTAGTGAAGGATAGAAATGATGGAAGGTGTTTGATCCGCTGATGTGAAACTGCAGCAGCAGGTGGGTGACTATCAACCTGCAGTACAGCATTCACCTCAGGTGGAGCATATAGCTTTCTTAAAACCCTGTTTAACATCAGAGCCAGTCTTTCACATTTCAGTACAGTGTTTTGCTACAGTTGACTGACGTTACTGTGGGTCTAAAGCCTTCCAAGAGCCCAATATCATAACACTCAAACATTTTTTATTTCTATGTATGTTGAACATTCCTTAAATTTGTTGACTACTTCACGGTATCCCTCAAGGCACACTCGATGCTCATGTGCTATTGAAAACATCCTCTCACCCCTAGAGAAAAGAGGCAGGTACACATCGCTTCAGGCAGCATTAACAAATATGGGTGCCTTAACATATTAACAAAACAGGGTGCGACAACCTCAGCCCACTGCCTTTAAGAGAGATTTCATCAAATTCAGCCACGGAATAAGCTCAGTGCTTCTAGACATCCAACTTTTTTCCCTGGGTTTGTCAAGGACCTGAAATAGTGGAAGTTAAAAAAAAAAAAAAAATCTCTTGGATTACCCACTTGTGTTTTTAAAATCAGATTTTGAGAGCACTTCAGACACTGAATTCAGCAGCTGCTTCCAAAAAAAACCAAGTAAACAAACACAAACCACCACTAAGGAAAACTATTTGTAAAAAAAAATCCAACATATATTTATTTGGTGCAGTGTTTCCATGCAAGACAATTGCATTTCAGTACCAACAGAGAAAATAAGACTAGTAGAGTCATTTCACTCAAAAGATGTATCCTTCTTATTAAGAGTGACTTGTTATGGCTTTTTGATCCTCTTTACTATGATTATAAATTATTTTTTAAAACCCTAGCTGAGATGGCGTGCTGATATTTAAGACATTTTACTAAAAACATACATGCAAATGCATAAAGGAGAGCTTTAAGGAATTACAAGCCAAATTTAATAAACGAGGTAGTCATCTGGTTAGGCAGAAACAGCTTTGTGTTCTTTGCCTCTGTATGCATAGCTGCAACAGGAGGTCTATAGCTTGCAACACAGCTTCATTGGAAAAAAAAACTTTGCCCTTCGAGAGTCATGCTCTGACGTGTGCAGTCACAGACCTCACCAGCCGGACGCTTAATTCACTGCTCCCTGCCACAGCTCGGAGCCATGGCAGGTCTTGCCCTCGAGGGATTCACAGTGGCTTACGGCAGAACGGCACTTTTAGTAACTGAGGTGGTCAGACGGATCTCACTTTGAACAATACGACTTGGACAACAGCTGTCAAGATCCTGAGGACTTTTAACAAGCTAAATATACAGTATCTCTTCTCTTCTTCTACTGTAGTGCATGAAAGCTTCCCTTCATATATACCAAAAACAATTCACTTTTTTTTCCTTAAATTGCCAACCAGCAGCTCAGAGATTTGATGTTCACATTACTTAATATTTAATTTAAAAACACTACTAAACCAACTGTCTCGACATCCTGCTACAAAAATCTTAATTTAAATTGTGATCAAGATTATCCTTATAAACACGTGCCTGATTATCAAGTGAAAGTTACAAATAGAGTAAGCAGTTGATTTTCTGATTTCTCCAAGCAGAACAACTTTCTGCCAGGCACCACGTTAAGGAGAAAGGTGCTTATTGTGATAATTCTTCATTGATTAAATCAGTCACTGCAACCAGCACAGAACCAAGTGTGCGATCCTTCATGTTACTTTTTAAAAATAAAATTCAAAGAGAAAAATCATTTGTAAGGTGAATAAATATCCCAGGCACCCATGGCTTAATTTAGTCTTGTTCTCAGAAACGTGGATCAGCAAAGAAGGAAAGAGAGTGTTGTCATCTGTTTGCCTGTTTAAAAAACAAAAGCAAAGGCTTGTTCAAACAAAGGAGTTCTGCTAAGAGACTCGATCTTATCAATTATATGGATGCTTCTCAAGGAAACAGCTTTATGGTCAGATAAGTCTCAGGTTATAAATATTTAAATTCCATTTAAAAATATTAAAACCCTCCAAATATTTTACCTGCATATTTTTATAAATCCATTCTGTAAACACAGTCATATTCCCATAAACTCCAGGTCTATTGGGACTAGCACAGCCAGTTCCCCAGCTGGTATCTCCAAGCAACCACCACAGAGAGTTTTCGTAAGTCACTAAAGGACCTCCGCTGTCACCCTGCACAAAACATAGGCGTATTATTAGTTCTGTGGCCACCTGGAAAGACACAATTCATTTCACTTCAGGAATACCAGTTAGGTTTAAGAGAAATAAATGTCATTTCTGCACAGTAACTAAAACAGCTTGCTATAGCAATTACAATATTAAATGATGACTATGTAATATGCATGAAAATTGTTTGCCCAAAGCACTAAATGAGATAGATAGTTTATAGACCTCCCTGTTCACAGGCATAATATTAAGAGTGTTGCCATTATCATGAAGAGTACTATTCATTCGTTTTTCAAGCACAAGACAACAAAAAACATCCTTGAAGCATTAAAAGGGACTGCCTCACCCTCTTCACATGTTTAGCAAGAATTGAGCGCTGGCAGCTATTCAGAAGATCGTAACAAGAGCGTTCCCTTTTAAAAGGATGCGTCACAAAAGAAACTACAAGCCTGACTGAAATGTTAGTCACTTCTTAATTTTTTTAGCATGATCAGTTTGTACTTAGCAAATGACTAAAATAAAAAACAAAAAAACACCAAACACATACACATAACCTACTAATAAGAAGACTTAAAATAACCAACTACATGATTACTAGATGTTAATAAAAAATAATTACCTGACAGGAATCAACTCCTCCTTTTAGAAATCCGGCACAGATCATTGTAGGCAAAACTATGCCATTATAGATATCAATAAAATTACATCTAGAACGTTCTATTAAGGGTACCGTAGCATAATTCAAGTTATTTGATGTTTTACCTGAAGTTGAGACATGCACAAAAATACAGACACAAGGACAAAATTAGAACAAACACCGTAATACGTCGCTATCACAAAACCCAAGATGAAAAAACTTATTAGAAACATGGGAACGGACACTTGAGTGTATGGTCCACAGCACGCAGAATACTAAGACATTAAAATTCCCTTCCAAGAGGTCAGTAAATTATCGTGCATCACTGTCAGTGCACTGTAAAGCAAGAGAACATGGAACCTGCTTATTGTAGCCCCAAATAATATTGGGCACATTGACAGATCTGGCTCAAAACTGTTCACTGACTTATAACCCACGCAGCAGCTATTTGTAGACTGAAGGGGCCTGGCTTTATACAAGACGAAAGTATCTGGGAGCCGCGCTTACCTCCTGGGTACTCTGCTCCCCACCCAGATATCCAGCACTGCTGATCTGACTGGAACGTCATTCCCGGATTAGGCAGACAAACTGGCCTTATATTGTCTACAAAGCAATTACAGTGAGAGTCTGTAATCCCAGATGTCCAGACATAATGCAAAATAAATACACTTGAAATATTTGAGCATGACCAGCACTTGCTTATACATAAATACATACACACTATGCATTTTCTCTGTACTCTAGCTTCCTTGCAGTTAATCAATTCCTGTGCAAAGGCGGCACGGGAAAGCTTAGCAGCTGCCCTTTCCTAAAGGCTGCCTAGCCTCGACCTCAAGGTGAGGAACAAGCAGAGTTAATCGTTACAGCTGAATTCGTTAGGCTATCAAGATAATTAACATCCGCTCTTTGACAGCAAAGGAAGAAAAAGGAGAGAAGAAAATCTTCCAACAACTATAGAAACAGTGGATAAATAACAGACCCTCCATGATAGCTCTCTGCATTCTCTTTGCAAAACCCTACTGAAAATAATCATAGCCCAAGCAGGACTGGATGTAGCCCATATATAAGCAGTATTAAACACATGAAAAACAAGGCACAAAAACGTGCATGGTGAACAGACAACCTCCCTACCCTCAGCAGCAGAAAAGTTCTTTCAGGTTATTTCCAGTAGCTTTCACTTGATGCACTGAAACATAAAGCACCCATAGAGATAGCACCTGTATAAAGCCCTTTAAGTTTAAATAATGCTTTGTCTTCTAGTTTTTACTGCTTGCTTACAAACAGCTGACGTCCACCTTTAAGAAAAGGCCCTTTCAATTTTAAAAATTAAAACAAATAAATAAATAGATAAAGTCACCTGCTAACACGAGGAGTCTGAGCAGGAGCTTGGAACAATTCTACTTTTCTCTACTGCGTTTTGATATAACTTGGCTTAAGGTTTAGTCAATTGCTCTGCCATTACATCCTGAGGCTGCACATATAAGAGGCAATGATACTTAGGCACCTTATACTATTTTGCTGCAGAAGTACATTACTTAGATGGAGAACAGTGAAGGAGTTAAAAGCTCACCTAAACTCCTCAATGAACTTCTATATACAAACCTTTGGTATGGTACTAGATTTAAATAAACCCTACTTAGAAAATTCAGTGTTCAGCCCAAATCGCAGAGGGGACATTAAGATGTCTCTACCCACATTTCCTGTTCTTCCCATGGGTAAGTGTCTAGAAAGATCTCTTGATTAACTTCAGAAGTTTTAAGAGAGGTGCTCATTGCTGTCAGTTTTTTGCCTTTAGGAAGAGCAGAATGCGTACCAGTAAAAGTCAGTGGCACCTCTAACTTCATAAGGGCAACATCGTTGTCTTTAGAGTCTGCATCATAACCTGGATGGGAAATTATTTGTTGCACTCTGTGTCCCATTTTTAAGAACATCTCATTCTGATTCAGGATCCCAGCATAAACTCTCCACCTGTACGGGTCAGATAATTGTCTAGAGAAAAAACAAAAGGTTAGAAAGTTTGCTTCTTTGGTAAGGCGTCCCAGCTTACAGCTTCAAAAATTATCTTTACTCTGACCAAGAATGCACGTGCATTTGACAACCGTTTCTGAAGACAAAGGTAAACAGTAACTTTTGACTCCTTTACTTTTGGCCAGTCTCTCCTCAGTTGTCAACTTTAACAGCACTATTTTTCACTGATGTTAATCCAAATGTATTAACACATTCGGAAAAGAAGTAGAAAAAGTCAGTGATCAGATACTTCTGTTCCACACACATCAAAAAGGTGCAAATAGACAAACAGTGTAAGAGGGACATAATTTAACTAAAAAAAAAGAAACAACAAACCCAACAAAAATGCAACTCGCAATCAGTTTTTTGAAAGCCAAAGTGCAAGGCATCGAGCTTTGGGAAAGCTTGATTCCAATTTCTAAACATAAATACATAACAATTCTTTGAAATAGGTTAAGTATTGCTGCCTACTCCCTTAGCCACTCAGCTCAGCAAATCGCCTCTGAGACTGCAGCACTGCAGTCTCCTTACTGATTTCAAGACATCAAGCAGTTATTCCTAAGTAAGTCTCACATATCAGTGGTATTACCTTTGTGTACTATCTGAAGCATGGAAGAAGCAGAAGCCAGAGTTAAGAAAACCAGGATCTTTGAAGGAATTTCAGTGTCTGGAAAGTGCTAGGATTTTTTATGTTAAGCACACTTGCTGGATATAAGTTAAGGAGTCATTTAATACAGTTTACAAATGCTCTGTAGAAAACTGCCCACGAGTGTTAAACCTCTCTCGATCAGAAGTGCTGAGGCAGCAGCTGTTGTGTAGGTCCCACAAAAAGCCAAGACTGAAAAACAGTTTTGTACCAGCTACATGGCTTGGTTGCCACTCCTAGAACTTTCACATGTTACACAGCTCAAACTAGAAAACAGAAGAGGGATAAGATCTTTGCGTAAAAATAAACATTTGCATTCCTTTCTCAAGGTTAAGGACAAAGTTATTTTTCCTTAACTTAGCCTCTAACTGAGATCCAGCCAAACAACCGTTAAAAAAATTTTTTTTCTTAGTTTTAGTGGATTTTTTCCTCCAATAAAAGTGGCTACCTTTTAAATAGATCCTGCCATAGAACATAAGGTATCAGACTTTTGAGTGTCCTTTAAGCTTCTGTTTTCATAGGTTAAAACAGACAAAGCACCAGCTTTTTTTGTTGTTGATATCCACATAAAGTGTTTCTTGGTCAGGTAAAATCTAAATTTAATACTCCATTGGGCTTTATTACCCTGTAGCCTGAAGATATGAGGAACTAAACAGTACATACATCTTAATCTAGACCAGCTTTAAACTGATTATATTTACTGTTCTGTGACATTAGAGGGATTTTTTTCCCCCCCTCCCTAAAGAGTAATTGAACTTCTTGTTGACAATTAACCTTGTACTGTCTGGAGTAAATTCGGTTACCTTGAATTCACCTCTTAAGCTGGGTGGGTATCTGTGCCCAACAGCACCGTCCACCTTTAAAAAGTAAGTAAAGATTTTCTTTCCATCGGAAGCAAACAGCCAATCTGCAGCTAGTCTCTTCCAAAACAAAATTTCCTGCAACGCTTTAAATCCACGTGGCTACCCAGCCAAAATATGATGGCTAACACTTGCATTCAAGAAGGGGAAAAAAGGCATTCAATTCAGTTTTAAAGTGGAAAGCTAGAAGACTTCAGCAAATGTTTAACCTCGCTTTTGGCCTGAAGTGGCAAAAATTCGCCATTCCTAAGACGAACGCAGACAGCCACATTTATTGCTCGGCCCTGCAGGTCAGCTGCCTCGGAGTTTGCCACTCACCCTTCCACGCAGTGAGCGGCGGTCACTATCCACCCGGGGGCGATGATGGAGCCGCCGCAGATGTGGACCCCCTGCACGTGGAGGCTGACCTGCCACGGCCACTGGCCCAGCGATGCAATGCTTCCGCCCACGATTCTGCTCATAACGTTTTTAGTGGACAGGCCGCACTCTGAGGGGTTATACGTACAGACATTAGTCAAGGAACAAGTTAGTCCAGAAGGCAGATTCTTCAGCTCAGGCTTCGTTATCACCCAGCAGAGGCGTGCACTAAGCATGCTACGCGGCTACCGTTTGATACGCCACAAGCCAAGCCTCTGCCACAGATTCGCAGCACTGAGCTGCACGCTGAGGTCCCACGACTCGTTTAGCTAAGGCCCTCTTTACATTACAAACATCAGTCAGCAGATTTGGCAGATGCTGCCCTCAATTTATCAGTTCAAAATGACTGTAAAACAGTGGTTTGCTATACCTTTGAATGCTGCTGCATTCAAATATCTTTGATGAGCCACACAAATACACATCTTTGTGCTATGTAAAAAAATAGGAAACAGTTAGGAATCATCGCTTCGCAGTCATCACCATTGGGAAAGCACTGCCCACCCGACGGCCACGTGTCAGGCAGCAGATGTGTTACAGCCTTCCCGCCACAATTGCATAGCAATGGCTGGAGAGTTTCATCATGGGCAAAGTATTTCAAGGAACTGGTGGCAACAAAGACAAAAGCAATTGGGGATAAAACATCCCCCACGTCTCCTCTCCCACCCCGGCTCTCATATTCCCTGTCTGAAACTTGAGAACCACAGCTAAGTCATCTACCCATCAAAAGATGATGGCAATTCTTTACGCAGCCTGAAATGGCTTTCCAGCCACAGCAGTTCAAAGCACGAACAAGCAGAAGTGTAAGAAACAAAAGACACTTACTTATGCAGCGCAGAGAAACCACGTTTCCTGAGACACAGAAGTCACTGCAATAGAAATCAAAAGGCAAAGAGGCTTTTAGGCACACAGCAGAGCCAATGGTGCACACAGGCCACCCTGTGGCTGCCTCCTGTCCTTCCCAGCTGCCTG